AAAATGAATCGTTGCAGATTCCGTGCGCAAGGTTGCAACACTCACGTCGATTGTTACCATATGTCACGTCCACCGCAGTGGTGCAAGCTAGGATACAATCAGCACTGGGCGTAAGTTCACAACTTCATTGAAAGCAATGAAATACAGTAGCTGAATGAAACGCCGCAAAAGGCACAATTTTTCATGTGCATACAATGGGTGAAAAGTTGGCTTATAGAGGGGAAAAATGCGGAAAATTGCTTGCGCTATGCGAATTTCACAAATTTTTGAATGGCATCCGATGATTCGATAGATGGACACCGATCGTAATTTTGTTCATCGCTGTTTTATCACCGTCAAGAATCAAATGATAAATCTGAAATGATCAAATTCTACCATTTCGCTGACCAGCAATGCCACTCACTCCAAGACCTTCCTAGCGATCTCTATGTTCGTAGAAACCATCTTGTGCTGTTTCAAATATACGCTTGGTGACATGCAAATGAAACTTGCAGTAAAGAAGGATGTCACTGTGATCCGAAACGTCGTATGTGCGTCATTGATCGAGTCACAAGCACTCCCAGTGGCCAATTCATGGAGTACGCTATTTGCTATCCTACCCAATCTTGGTATTGCGCAAATTAGTGATAACCGCTATGATAACCATTTGTCCACTCTTCTTTTCACGCCAATGAAGACAAACTCATGGAAAGAGTTTTTCCGACTGCATCACAACGGCAATTGTGAAACTTGTTCAGCGCAATAATTTTGATTTCAAAACGATTTCCAAGCGAAATTATTTTATTCGAGTACTGAGTTAATAATAAACGAGTTGAATAGATCACTGTTAAAGCATTATGATACAATAAATAAGATGCACTGAGGCGAAAACAAGCAGTGGAAATGAACAAACAAGCATGATGACATAATACAATAACCCGTGAGAGAAGTGACCATGAGAATTAAGTATTTACAAGAGCATCATTGTTTTAGATCATTGTTGGTCTTTTGGTGAGAAATAATGCAATGCAGAATAATTGAACATGTACATTTTACAGAAGTTTGCATAAATTATATCAACACGCAATATATCATACGTGTTCTTTTTGATGCTTGATAGTAGTGAAACAGTTTATGAAATAACTTGCAAATATGATATTCCCCGTCGAATGCAGTCATTCTTGAATCACTTTTTCTAATATAGAACTCGCCCGCCTACAATGATCATCAAAATCATTTTGGGCCAAAAAAAAGAAACAAAGGTTTCTCTTCGTAGAAGGAGAATAGGTGCAAATTCCATTGTGTTTTATTGATACTTAAACTTATGGGCCAATTTCGCTCCATGGACCTGGTTCTCGAACGAGGTGTAAGTGAGCTGGGGTGATTTTGAACTGCAAAATTCCAGTCGGAACGATATCAAGGCAGAGTTTCCTGCTCTTTGCTCATCGCAGAAGTCAATCTGACTCAATTTGAATGGAACTAGCATTGAGACGGAAATTTTCGAGAGAACTAAAGCATAGACTGTGAAAATACAACGCGAAATCTGTCTATATGAATGATGATATCTGATGATCAACACTAAACAATACAGTGATTAGACGTTGCCAACGAATAAATGCCTAGCTGGTGCTCGGCAGCACCGGGCGATTGTTCCAGTTGCAAATGATTCATGTCAAGAAAATCGTTATGATGATGTTGAATCCGATTCAACGGAGACGATCGCGGTAGACGTATCGTTGATCGTTGGGCCGGACATACGAGTTCAATGTGCTTGTTCAAATAGCTCTTCAACGCGAACAGTTTGCCACAACTCGAACATTCATGTTTTTTGACACCTGCAAGCAATGATTTCAACACACTTTTCGCATCCTCTTCCGCATTCCGCATTGACTTCATTGCGGTAACAGTCGATGCCTAAAGATTGCTCGAATATAGCTAGCTAGCAGCATCATTAATCCACATTCATATTGTGCTTTCGGTTAATCGAATTATCATTTCACTTGAGTCACTTTCTAATTGTAAGCATAAAACAAGCCGGTGTAATTAAATATTCCGGATAGTTTATGTCCTGAAGATGAACAACAACAGAGATTCATGCAGTCCATTTTCATAGGCGAAACACACACATGAGCAGATGGGAGATCAGGCATGCGAGTTGGTGCTTTTGTAATAGAAAATTATGCAACAAATGGATTTGCGTCATCCAATGAATACATTGCGTATCGCTGATCTATCAAGTTTGTCTATTCATGAGCAAAAGAAGAAATCAACAATTGTCGGCATTGGGCATACGATCCGTGTTTTTTGAATGATACTAGTTGTGGTGTGTTTTAAAGGAATATTTGTGGGTGTGTTGTTGAATTTTTGCTTGTGAATTGAGATGCAGCAATGGAAGAGATTCGGAAAACTTGTTGTACGGACGGGTATTAGCATTATTGGTCATGTATTGCAGTCGTTCAGCGACTCTGTGATTTTGCTACTTTAATCTCTGGCTTATTAGATGTGTGTGTGTGCACAATGTATCGCTTCAATTGCTAGATTTGTTCAAGTGTCGTTTTCAAGCCGAACACATTAATCTAATCGCCATCTCAACGTTTTGTTCAATCCCCTAGAACAACGAACACTTCAGCAAACGCAATCAATCATCCTAATTTTAAGCATGGATGACTGGTCACTTAACGACTCGAGACTAGTTAGTTACGTTATATATCTCAACGAACTGGTTGAATGTGTCCATAAAACTAAAAACCATTTGGCGGTTCAGTTAAGTTCGCTTTCAAAAAACTGAATTCCGTCTGGCTGCATAGACATTCCTTAGAAACCATATAAGTAAATACTTTTGTCATTCACTCAGCTTGGTCGAGAGTGTGTTCAAATAGACGATTCGCTTTCGAAAAAGCCATCATCGCACAATG